CAAATAGGCACTTTAGTTCAAAGACTTGATCTTCTCTGTGATCAATTCATTTTGGAATGAAATTATGATCAAAAGTAGTATCAAATTATTTATTGATGAATATTGTACAGTTGCTTCTAATTGTATGCAAAAAGCTTAGTAGTTTTATAAAGCTTCTTTTATTATTGAGAATGTGACTATACATGTTTGTGACTATACATGTTATCTCTGCTAAGAATTGGGGTAACTATATTGCACTGAATAGTTGTACAATGAAATCTAAATATAAGACAGACCTCTAACATACCTTGTTGTGTCTGATTCATATTATATATTTTCAGACAGATGTTATTTTATAGAACCAGTTTTAAAACCTGCATGCTTGGAGTAGACCTATTTTCCAACCCAGAATTTTGTCATCATGATAGTCTATTGATGACTGCATGATAAGTACAGCTAAAGCAAGCAGGAGGAAGGGTCAGAGGGGTTGAACTCACCAATCTATCTCTGATATTTTCTTTTTTCTCTTTCTAGTTATCTCTTCTGACCCATACAAACATTAGACTGCAAGGAAGTAGAAATTAAGTTTTCCTAGAGTGCTTAGCTGATCTTCTATGTCAGCGATCCCCAATGTTTTGGGCACTCAGGAGTAGTTCCATGGAAAACAGTTTTCTCATAGAACATGGAGATTGTGCTTTCGTGCATTACCTAGATCTCATGCATGCACAGATGAAGCTACACTAGCTTGCATGGCCCAGTTCCTGACGAGCCACAGACCAGTACTGGGCCACAAACTAGGGGTTGGGGACCTATGAAAGGTTTTGAATTTACAAAAAGGGCTGTGTGAATATAGTTTGAGGGGTTCTTTGATCTCCGAGATCACCAACTGCCTACTCTGCCTCTAAAGAGTCATCTTTCACATGTTGTAATAATTGGAAATCCTTGAATTCATGCAAGTCTCATTATTTGTTGCATTTCTAGAGTATGTTTAAGAGATATACAAAGGTGACAATATTTTTATTTGCTACAGATTCTTATGATATGTACAGGAAATGTTGGAGAAAAGAAAAACAGAATAAGCCCATCATTACTATTTTCTTCATCAGTATATCATCAGTAGAGACTAGATAGGAGAAGTCACAGGACTTTAAATCACTGCTATATTGTATTTTTTAGGGAGATGAATTGGTCATATATTTGCTTATGGGGAGAGGAAGATCTGTTTGAATGCATGGATTGTTTGTGGTTGTTGTAGGCCTGAAAGAATATGCATAGCTTGCCCAGTAGCTTAGCAGAAGGCAGACTCGGGGTAAATGACAGTTTACTGTTGAATTGTTGGAATTACATCATTATTTATTATATCTATTGGGAGCTGTTTGACCAAGGGTAACTAAACTGTTTGACATTAGCTGTATAAAGTAGTAAACCTTAAATAGAAAAGGACTGGATCATGACTAACATGCATTTGTAACTTCATTCCTTGTTTGATATAAATCAAACACAAAATAAGGTATTATAATTGAGCGTTCTATGTCAATTTGTTGGCTTTTTTAAAAAAATAGAAAAACAAAATCAATCTCCATATGAAATTCTTGCATACTGCAGTCCCCCATTGTGATGAAATGAATAATTTAATAAGGGACTGTGATACCAGAGCTTCTTTAAAGGTTCCCATTTCCTTTAATGCTGTAATGGCTATTTTCACTTTGTTAATGTGAGACTGTTCTTCCTGAGATATACACACAATAAATAGTAGTAGTAGTAGTAGTAGTAGTAGTAGTAGTAGTAGTAGTAGTAGTAGTAGTAGTAGTAGTAGTATCATTGGCAACAGCAACAGCAGCAGCAACAGCAGCTTAAAATGTATTTTCTATCAAGTAGCAGTTGGGACATACTGAAAAAGTTATTTTCAAAAAGTATTTTGCATCTTATCTCTGTAATATGAGGGATTTCATTTGACTAGTGTTGTATTTGGTTTCTCTGTTTGCTAGTTTGTGATATCTCAGTATTTTGGGACTGGTGGGTCCATTTCACAATTTAATAAAATTTAATCAGAGCAAATAATTTAACTGAATGTTTGGCAGTTCATAAAATGGCTGCTAAAATGGAATGACCTCAGGCAGAAACATCATTTTCTAAAAGGCAAATTAACATTCTACTCTCTACCATCCTCTTTATTTATTCCTACCCTCACTAACCAACTATTAATCTTTAGCTTTCTTTTATCTTTTTTCTAAGTAAATGGATACCTTTATAACCAAAAGATTGGGATGCAACCACTCATCATTTGTATTTTATAAGAATAAGAGTGCCTAGGGGCACATAGCAAATTCAGGGGCATTCTTGAAAATATCAATGATTCTGGAGGCTGTTATGTTTTTAGTATATGCTAGCTTTCTATTAAACTCAATTAAAAATAAATTACACTTTAACAATAAGGTTGGTCAGGGCATCAACCTCATGCATCTTTTATGCACAGAACGAAACCAAAACTAATTTCAAATATATATATATATATATTCTGAGGTTTTTGTGGGTGTTTGTATGTAGGTCTTTGGTTATTCGGATTTTCTCCCGCGTAAAATTGGAAGTGTCGTGGCGACATTTCGACAAAGTCCCATTCGTCCACTTCAGGCTGGTGTTTTCGGCTTCATGCTTCTAGGAGCAATGTGTGATTGTAGCTGTTTCTTCCTTTTAACTGCCAATGGGGGTATGAACTGATTGGGTGGGAGCTTGGCTGTGTTATGATTGGGTGGAGGTGCGTTCTGATTGGTTAGGGGCTTGGCTGTGCTCTAATTGGATGGGGGGGTTGACTCTGCTCTGATTGAATGGGGGAATGTTCTGTTTGGTGGGGGCTTTGTTGTGCTCAGGTTAGTCTGAGTTGCAGGGGGATTTGAGATGGTGAGCTGCATTGCTGCTGTTTGGCTTCATGTTCGTGGTCGTGTCTCATCTTCATGGTGGGTGTCAGTTTGCTTCATGTATGGATTGGAGGGGTTTAAAGTGGCTAATGATGCAGCTGTGGTCTGGCTTCTGGTTTGTGGTCGTGCCTCATCATCGGTGTGGGTTTGCTTTTTGCGTGGATGTGTGGTGGTGACATCCTGTGTGGTTTGAGTGAGTGTGGGTCTGGTGTCATTCTTTGTGTTAGGGACTCGTTTGTCAATAAGGGTGGGTCCAAATGGCTGGTAGGCAGGATGTATCATTTTGTTTGTTCATGCTGTGTGGGCGTTTTTCTATCTCGATGGCTTTTCTGATTATTCTGTTATTAAAGTGTTCAGTTTTAGTGATAGTTCTGGTCTTTTTAAGTCTAATAAAAGACTTATTATATATATATATATATATATATATATATATATATATATATAACTATCATTTATGTTAGTGCGGTTTTAAATAGGTTTAGGAAATGAAATTATGTATTTAAATTAACTTTATATATATATATATATATATATATATATATATATATATATATATATATATATATATAGTCTTTGTTCAGACTATATAGTTTATCATAGAAACTAAGGTAACTAAAGTAAATTCTATAAACCTCATATAATCGATGGAGATTGCCAGTCTAGCCTTCTAACATCAATCTTGTTGCAACCATGAAAGCAATAAATATCCATTTCTATTGTCTACAAGTTTGCTTACAAACCAATGATATTTAATTCAAAAGAACATGAGCAAAACTCAGTGAATTCTTTAGAGCAGGCATGTCAAACTTGTGACATCATATGATGTTGCGCGACATATCAGGACTTTTCCCTCATTGCCAGCAATGGGGTGGGCATGGTTTTAGCATGACACATCTGGCCCGTGGCCAGCAGTTTGACATGCCTGCTTTAAAGCAAATTAACCAAAAGGAAACTAGTAACATAGCTGACCGTGTATATGGCCATGTGTTGTATTAGGAGCATCACTTTTTTTTCTAAATAGGTCCATAGGTATCTAATTCTCCCTCATTTTAAATCCATGTAAGTTTGCTTGAAAGTCTTCTGTTATCATTTTTCATTGTACATGTTTATCTAATGAGCTTTGGTATGGGATGCTATTGCATATTAACTTTCATTCTCAGTGTTTTACATGATATGAGAAAAATATAAAACACAAGCTTCTGTATTTAGTTTAAGTCCAGCATATATTCTTTTCCAAAAATTCTTTTCAATCTAATATTTAAAGAAGTAGAATTTCTTTTATTGAACCTATCTCCTATTGAATAAAAGAGCACATTACTTTTTTTTTCCTGAAGAGCTGCTTTCAGTAATTCTTTGCATTTCAGTTTACATAAATCAATCAAATACCCAATGAAAAGTATACCTTTTCTCTGTCCAATTTTTCCCCCTGTTGATTGTAGGGTAGTGATTTTACTGCGTGGTTCCAATCAATGGGATTCTAGGCTTTGCCATTAGCCTTTAGGCATATAAGAATTCTTACTTAAAAAGTTTTACATCTGATATATGGAAAGTGAAATAGAACAAACTGTCGAATTTTTCCCCCCTTGCTTTTTTTTATAATTTTCAGTTTTCTTACTGGCATATCTGTGCATAATAATATAATTATTAGATGTAAACTCTTAATTATAGAATCTGAATTATATGGCATACAATGAAACCATTGTTCTTTTAGTATTGGTAACAATATAGAAGATATTGTAATCAGACACTTTTACTTAGAACAGGATTATATAAAATGTCAGGAGATTTTAGGATTGGAGAAAGAAGGAGAAGGCAATTTAGTTCAAACTAAATATAATGGGAAAGGTTTTGGATTTCTTTTTTCTATGAAGATGCATGTTGCTAGGCTAATTTGATCTAACAATTATAAACGCCTCTAAACTTTTTGAGGATTTTTATTATATTTGTCCTTGTTTTGTTAAAATAGCTTCTTGAGAAGTTTAGAAATTTGTATTAAGTAGGCATCCATTAGAGGGCTCTCGAGGTTTTGAGTTTAGCAACCTTGATAGTAATAGTTCCAGAGCTTTGCTTGCTCACATTTCTTTGTTTTTCTTTTTTCTTTTACAGAAAAGGTCACGGATTGCCTACAGTGACGAGGTGCGGAATGAGCTCCTAGGGGACGATGGGAATTCCTCAGAGATCCAGGTAGGATGCTAATCAAGAAGCCCTAGTGGGTGGCTGGAGGGTGAAGGAGGTCATTGGCCCACTGGGCTTCTCAAGCTGCTTCTTAACAGCATTAGTAACAACTCATGTGGAAGTGATACTGTTTAATGCAAAGCTGGGGTCTTAATCAACTTCAGAATGATTCTTGGAGATCTTACAATTTAACTCTTTATCTTGGATCCCTGTCTGTTATGTTTTTTAGAAAAAATTAAACAAAAAAACATAATATTTTTTTCTTCTTCTTTATTATTTAGTACTTAAGGAGTACCTTGAAACACAATATTTTCCAACAAACCGAAACACATGTAAAAGGAATACAAATTCACATAATACAGCTTTGATAAGAGGGAAATATAATTAATTCAACTCTGGAAGGCAAAACAAATGAAAATGGGATTTCAGAATGTCACAGTTTCTTTTCCTGTGTAGTTGCCTCTCTGAACCAGGTTCTGTTCTATGTACAAAACTGAAATTATACCAAAACTATATAAGTGTAATTAACTTAGTATAAAATGTTAGCATTTTTAAGAAATGTGAAATATTTCTAAATATTTTATTCAAATATCTCCATTGTGCAATATCAGTTTCCAATATTGCAAGTGTTCAGGAGAGTTTTTAAAATTATTTTGTTTTCTTGGTTATGCACCCTTCTTTTACTCAAAGCTTACTCTGGATAAAGATTTATAATTTTTTGCTTTCATACATTATAATATTTTCAAATAAATTTTTTACAACTTCACACATAAGAAAGATAATGTACATTGGAGTAATGTAAATTAGTGAAGATAAAAGTATAATTATTTAATATTGTGAAAAGTTTGCTACTGATCTTAATTTCTATTCTACTTCCATAATAACTTTGATAAAAATATTTCAAATGTATTATTTCTTACTATTTAATCTTTTTTTCTCTAAAGTACATTAATAGAAGAAGTAAAGCAAATGTCTATATGTACCATGTCTTATGTATCAAAATAAAATCTATATGTGATATAACTCAGACAAAAAAATCAAGTGAACTTTCAATGTTAAGACTGCCTAGAGTTGTGGGGAATGGGCCAGCATATACATTTAATAATTCAATAAATAAAAATCTGAAAATTTAGGTTGCTATGCTTTTATTTGCTACTCTATGATCTGTTAACATATATGCTAACATACATAGCTAATATGTTTCAGTAATGACATATTTTAATGCATAGTTTGTTTTCTTTTTTCTTTTTAATCATATGAAAGGGGACATATTTTTCAGAAAAGGTCTTTAATATCTAGCACTGTTCATAGAATTTATTTATTTATTAAATTTGTTGGCGGGTCATCTTATTACAGGATAATTCTGTCAAAAAAGTGATATTACTTTCAAATTTAAATTTTCTACATTTTTTTCATATTATGAACTTTGAAAGAAAAGAAATACTAGTTTTGATAAAATGTAAGCCATTGTTTGAAAGAATACATGCTTTATTTTATTGTCACCTTTAAGAAAAATCAGTTTATCCTGTGGTGAAAACTGATGTTTTTTATTTTTTTAATGATTAACAACAATAAATTTAGATATACATGTAAAAACAAAAAGAAAGGCAGGTAATGCCATGAAATTAACACAGAAAGCAAGTTTACTCTATAGCAAAAAATATAGATTTCCTTATCCAAAGTCAGTTAATATTCTGTTGATCTATATCAGCCTTTTAATTGATATCAAGTATACTATCCATCCATCCATCCATCCATCATTGCTTGACTAGTGAAATTTGTAATAATAACTTGAACAAAGTTAAATAGATTTAACATACTTTGACAATAGAATAGAATAGAGTTGGAAGGGACCTTGGAGGTCTTCTAGTCCAGTCCCCTGCTCAAGCAGGTGAACCTATACTATTTTAGACAAGTGATTGTCTAGTCTCTTCTTAAAAACCACCAGTGATGGAGCACCCATGATTTCTGAAGGCAAGCTGTTCCACTGGTTAATTGTCCTCACTGTTAGGACAATAGTTAGTGAGAAATTTTTCAGTAATTTTCTATACATTGGTTCTTTGGGGTTGGATTTAGAAAATTCAGGAAATTGTCTTTCAATATACAGAATTTCGTATTTAATATTTCTGATTGATGAATATACTTCTATATACTTTATGCTGGATATTATTAAATTTATCTGTTCTTGGTATAATCATTTAAGTTTAAACTAAAGAATGAAAGTCATACTCAATTTGTCAGGAATAACATAAACCAGTGCATAAATAATGGAAAAGCAAGTGTCCTGTAAACATAAGCATAAACATGTGGTTCTGACAGACTAGGAGTAACATCTACACACTACCTGCTGCATAGTTAAATAGAGAGCAAAGAAAGTGAGAAAGCTAAAACAAATCTAAATTAGATGTTTCCAGAAATAGATAGAATTATCTGTAATGTGTTATTTTGTTCTTTACATAAACACTCTGTACTATATGCAAGTCTATATGTTTGATGGCATTGTTTTTCTGTCCATGAAAAAATGTTAAATCTAATAAATACGGTACATAGAATATATCCTCAAATAATTTATAATAAATTATATGATTGGGAAAAAATGGTTAGTAAAATATTAGACATTCTATATTACAGCATTTTGGTCCTTGAAAAAAAAAAACAATCTTGTCTGTCCTAATAGATTCATTAGAGATAATTATTGTGTTATCTGTCTAGCTTAATTATTTTTTTTTACTTAACACTTTTATGCTCTGCCTATCCTCTATGGTACTATAGATAGTATAGACTAACTTGACATACTGCTTTATGTAAAAGCTATTCCCTACATTGCGTTTTAGTATTTAAAATAGAAATTTGGATAAATTATTCTGAGTTCAGTGAATTGTATATTTTTTGTTCTGAGTGTATCTTGCCTTTTATTCCACTACATTCAAATAAAATACTTTTTAAAATATATAAGATTTACATATGTAAATACGTAATATTTCAGTGTTTTGTTATTTTCTCCCTAGAATAATATTATTTATTTATTCAAAAATTATATATGTTTTCTTTCTCTGTGAGTTGTTTATCTTTGTATAGTGATGTTTAAGCAATACTTTGGAACGTTTTAAGTTTATCTGATCGCATCAATTTCCTTGAAAGATTCAAATATAGCAGTGTAGAAAAATGGAATACATTATCAGTTTATAAGTTTATTTAATTTTTTTATTTATTTGATAAGGACACTAGTTAGGCAGTTAATAAATAGCATGCTAGATTGGTAGCTTGCTTTCAAAAGTGTAAGAAATTTTAATTTCATTGTTAAAACAACGGAAGTGATATTTTTATTGCTGTTAGTGGTTAAGGCATCAGACTAGAAACTGGGAAACTGTGAGCTCTTGTCCCACCTAGGATATGAAGCCAGCTAAGTGACCTTGCGCCGGTCACTTTCTCTCAGCTCTAGAAAAGAGGCAATGGAAAACTACATCTAAAAAACCTTGCTGAGAAAACTGCAGGAACTTATATAGGCAGTCTTTGAGAACTGGACACAACTGAATACTAGAAAAAAAATTTTCTATATAACTAGACCTCTCTGGATGAGAGAAATTTCTTAATAATTTGTATACTAATTACAGCATAAGTGTGTAAGTTGATAAATACGGTATAACAAAGCAGTTGTTACCTAGAGAAAATATTTTGTGTTTATATGGTTACCTAATTTTTGATATCCTAATTCTGATAAAGACTTGGATTGCCTATGCATTATAGTGTATCAAAACTCTGAAACGCTTGAGATGGGGAAAGGGAAATGGGTCAACCTAATTCCCCAAGATCTAAAGAAGGTCGTATCACTTTATATAGCCTGGCAGAGCAGATCATTACCAGTCACAAATCTGTTACATACCGTGAGTATATAGCAAAATAAATAGACTGTCTCACAAGTTCAGAAAATTGTGTGTTCGATCCATGATAATGTGTAAAGGGCGTTTAATAGAGTTCAGCATTTATTCGTTATCTGTATGTGGGCAGAGACGGCACTACCGTTATCGGCTTCTTGGGAGGGAAATTCCGTGGTTCTCCATGTCACGTGATCTGCCTCACAGACCCATGCACTCTCCGTGATGCAGTTTTGATTCTACTCAGAGCAGAGCAGAAGGCTTAGTCACAAGAGATTCCGCTGGTTCAAACCAGTGTAAACCAGATTTACACTGGTTTTGTGTAGACTTTTTGTCTACAAAAGAACAGATTACCACTTGTATCAAGTGGAGGAGGGGAAGAAAAAGAGAAGAATCTTTGTTTCCAAATTATGCTGATAATTATAACCTAAAATTGTGGCCGCACACATATTTATGCTTTCTGATTGAATTTGGCAGGGTTAGGATACTGCTTTTAAAAACAGAAGGAGTAGCATGTCATCAAGTGTCATAACTGTTAAATGAGAGAAAAATCTTTTGTTAATTTGAATGAATATCTTTCAGACATCATTTTAAAAAGAAAACCACCCATTATTTAGCTTAGCTGTAAATCCTATGCAGAGCTTAAATTCAGCCATGCAGCACAAACAAGATAGAACTCTCTTTCGCTCTTTCTCTCTCTTTTTGACACCTATTGAAAAAACAAATGTGGAGCATTTTAAAACTTTCATTCACTATGGTAGAGTGTCATGCCCCAAATGGTTTCTATTGCAGAATGGTAGTTTTAAACTTTGGCCCTTAAGCTATCATAGCCATTACATGAATGGTAACCTGCAAAAGGGGATGGGGGTGAGCATAGTGATGCAGTAAACGTGGAAACCATCTTTTTTGGAAACCGAATGTTTATCTTTTGGAGAAGAAAGTGAGGAGGAAGCAAGAGAGCAAACCAAGAGTGCTTTTAATTTAAGAACAGGTGGGATTGGATTAGAAAACATGCTTTTCCCTTCATTTTTTATCTTTAGAAAATTAGAACTGTTGAATGCAGCACTCTTCTTAAAAATTAAAATGTCTTCATTTTTATTGCTTGGCATTATAAATGTTTAAATTCTAGATCAACAATATGAGCATAAGGAATCATTTAAGTTAGTTTTGTATCTCTCTTTCTCTCTGTGTGTGCTCTGTGTGTGTGCGTGTAAGAGAACATCTTTCCTAAATTTACACCCTAATTCAAAATTATTTTTCATATGTATGATTACATTGGTAATGGCCAGTTGAAGAACAAACCTTCTCAGTTGTAAAATATCATATTCTCAATAAAGAAGCTTTTCCCCTTCCACCATAACTATAACTTTCTTTATGTGTGGCAAAGAGGCTGAGTGTATTTATACTTTAGCATAAAAAGCTACTATTTTAAATAAAGGTTATTATGCAGTATAGCTGACAAAAACCATTTAAAGGATTCTTCTTTTGTTTAGTTAATTAGAATACACTATTTTAAAGAGTAGAATAGTGAAATGTAAACTTTTTGAAGTAAATTCTCTTCAAAAGTATAAAGAATGGTATAGTCTAATAAAACAATGCCACTATTTGCTTGTTCTTCAGTTATTTATATTATTTGGATGCATAATACTACAATACTAAATAGTGTAGACTAACTAAATTTAGATTAAAAATACTACACTTTAAAATGGCATATAAGCTGATGTTTGTATAGCCATCAGTTATAGTTATTCTGACTGATTTAGTAAGATACAGTAGATGTATAGGGAGACATAAAAAGGCAGATGTCAGTACTAACAAAATAAAAAATGTAGAAATCTTGTATATACAAAATCACTTCAGCTGTACTATCTTAGAAGAGAGGAATAGTAAACTTGTTTTCTCCTTTTTGTATTATAGACTTCTATGAAGTCATTCCCCTTTATTTCATGATAGTGTCTTAGATGTGGTTTAAAAGAGAATTTCACACTATTCTCTTTGTTTAATGTGACAGTGTGCGAAAGTGATCTTTATTCGTTCAAAAAACTCTGCATGTAGTCTATGTTTAGGGTCTTTTAATGTGTTTGTCTGTGATTTTTAAATGCTAAACATGTAAACAGATAAATTGTCAATGTTAATTCTGTATCCTGTCACACAACTGATCTTTCTTTCCTGCCATTTCTTTCCTTTTTATCTTTTTCTGTGCATTCATGTTGCAGTTGATAAAATTACGTGAAGAGGTGAGTATTTTGTTGCCTAGCTTTTTCTTTAAAGCTAGCTTTTCATATCTGAATAAATCTTTTTGGTCACTTACAGAGAAATCTGCAGAACGCATGCATTATATATCTATATATCTATATTTATCTATATCTATATCTCCTTAAAAATGTTCTAGAACTGTGTGAGTCTTTTCTTTAATAATCATCCATTTCATCAGAATCCCTAGGCCATACTTTTAAAATTACAATTCTTTAATAGCACTAAGAGAAAAGATAATTTAAAGGATCTGTAAAAAAAAAAACCCTTAGTATTTGATATGTGTTTGAACACCATGTTGAAATCAGATCCTGTAATGATATCTGCACAACAGAAGGTACTGTAACAGTAGGGGGAAAAAAAAACCTCTGCTTGAAAGGTACAAGCAATACCTCATTGTGTAGATCTACCAGCATACAAAACAATATGAAAATATTGCATGCACGTATACTGAACTGTAGATGTATGCTCAATTGTGCCTCCTATATTTATTATTTATTTGTGCATATGCTGTAGTGAATGCAAATTAGGATCCTTTTTCATTCCAGGAAATGACCAGAAGAGATAACAGTACTTCAAAAGTAATATCAAATCATCAAATGATTATTTCTTGACATTTTCTAGAGTACTTTTTCTTTTTTTAGATTTGTCCTTGGTTTTATTTTTTGCTTACACAATTCTCTCTCTGTCTCTGTCTCTCTCTCTCTGTGTGTGTGTATGAGAGAGAGAGAGAGAGAGTTTAAATCAAATTCTTACTCCTAGAATTTGGTATAGTAGAAGTTGCTAGGGAACCAGTTTTTTGCGATAGTGGCGTAATAACACCTTTCAGTTCTTGCAAAGAGAGACAAAACAACAAACTGTGCTTGTTTATTCTTGTGGTATTTGGTGAATGACTTCTGTTATAAACTGCCTGTTTTTCAAAAAGATGGGACAGAGAAGGGATGATGCTTGTTCATTGAGAAAAACTGGAGAATAACCAAATGAAATACAGTACAGAAAATTTATTACTGTATAGATTTCCTAATAAATCAATATTTTTTTCATCAATCAAGTAGTTTGAATTTCCTCCATCTATGTGAATTTTACATAGATAGTATTTTTCATTATATCAATTTTAAAAAAATACTGTCATAAAAAGGCAACTGAGCAAAGTTTCTTCAACTCTATCCTTATTAATTATTATATAATCATTATCATATATACTTACTTATATAGAATAATGTAATCAAAGTATAGATTAGTATTAAAGAACTTAGAATTCAGTTTTAATGGTAATAACAAGCATAAAGGAAAGTGAAATATA